GCACACATACACAGAAAAAGACAATGCAAACCCGTACACAAGCATGCAAACACACACACTTCTTTTCTTACATACACACAGAAACACAATGCATCTCATGCACACACATACAGACACACACCTTGCATCCCTTATGCATACAAACACAGATTCACACAATGCATCCCTTATACACAAATACACACTGCTTCCACTACACACAAACACACTGCATCACCTGCACAAACTGGTAACCCTAAACACTACATACCATAAGCACACACATTAGATCCTCTACAATAACACATCCCCTACACACTCCACACCCTGTGAGCGAACTCATGGGTGGGTGGAACTTATGAGTGGGCCTTATGGGCATACTCACCGTCAGGCCCTGGGGCCCAGACCTTGAGCTGTGTAAGGGGCCCCAAAAAAATTGAGCTGCTTCCAATTCTCCCAGAACATTGAATTTTGTGACCACGGTTGCAAACAGCCTCCAGAGATCCTGTTCTACACCAGACCAGTGGAGCCAAACTGCAGCCCATCATCATCCTCATCTGCTTGTAAGTAGGCAATCTAGTATATTATTAGTGACACTAATCTATAATTTACCTCACATTAAAGGGACACTATAACTTAATGAAGTGGTTCTGGTGTCTATAGCTAGTCCCTGCAGGCTTTTTAATGTAAACACACACTGTGTGCAGCACTGGCGTTAGTTCATATGGCAGATCATATGGGTGGGGCATTGTGATGTGACATGTGGGGGCAGCAAATTTTTATTTTGTCTAGGGTGGCAAAAATCCTTGCACCGGCTCTGATCCTGGGCAGGTGCACCAGTCTACTGGTGACCCACAGGAGGGGAGTGCACTGATTGCACTGCACTCTCCTCCTGCCCAGCCCCGTCTTTACCGCAGTGCAAGTGCCCTCTGCCCCTAATTTACAGTGGCTCACACTCACAACAAGCAGTGCCTGGAGCCGTGAAGGAGCGGGTATGGCAAAGAACTACTGATTAGCATAACATCAATATCCGTTATAAAACCAGGAAAAGGTGGGCATGGATGGTGAACTGAGCCACTTGACTGGTTTTGCCCCCCAGGCCTAAGGCTGCCAGCCCTCCCCTGGCCGCTGGGGAGGTCTTTTGGCGGCCGCTGGCGGACTTGTCCTGGCGGCCGCTGGGGGAGCTGCGCGACCTGCGCTGGCTCTGCTCCCCAGCACGCAGCTGAATGAGACCGGCGCCGGAATATGACGTCATATTCCGGCGCCGGTCTCATTCAGCAGCGCGGGAAGGCAGAGCCAGCACAGCTGCCCCAGCGGCCGCCAGGACAAGTCCGCCAGCGGCCGCCAAAAGACCTCCCCAGCGGCCGACAGGACATGTCCCCCAGATGCCCCCAGAAGACCTCCCCAGCGGTAAAAGTCCCCCAGCGGCCCCCAGAAGACCTCCTCCTGGCAGGTATAAGTAATGTGCCTGTCTGTCTGTGTCATGGTGTCTGTCTGTATGGTGTGTGTATGTGTCTGTCTGTCTGTGTCATGGTGTCTGTCTGTATGGTGTGTGTGTGTCTGTCTGTCTGTGTCATGGTGTCTGTCTGTATGGTGTGTGTGTGTGTGTGTGTCAGTCTGTCTGTGTCATGGTGTCTGTCTGTCTGTATGTATGGTGTGTCTGTCTGTCTGTGTCATGGTGTCTGTCTGTATGTATGGTGTGTGTGTGTCTGTCTGTATGTATGGTGTGTGTCTGTCTGTGTCATGGTGTCTGTCTGTATGGTGTGTGTCTGTCTGTCTGTCATGGTGTGTGTGTCTGTCCGTTATGGGGTGTGTGTGTGTGTGTCTCTGTCCGTCATGGGGTGTGTGTGTGTCTGTCTGTCCGTCATGGGGTGTGTGTGTCTGTCTGTCCGTCATGGGGTGTGTGTGTTCTCTGTCCGTCATGGGGTGTGTGTCTGTGTCATGGTGTGTGTGTCTGTCTGTGTCATGGTCTGTCATGCTGTGTGTGTGTGTGTGTGTCTGTCATGGGGTGTGTATCTGTCATGGTATATGTGTGTTTCTGTGTCTGTCATGGTGTAAATGTGTGTTTAAAAATAGTGTTTTTGCTCACCTTTTTTCCCCCACGCAGCGTGCTGGTCTCCCTCGACTGGCCCTGCCTCTATAGCTGAGATCATCAAGCTTGATGATCTCAGCCAATCCAATGCTTTGCCATAGGATTGGCTGAAAAAGCCCCACTCCAATTAGCATCTCCTCATAGAGATGCATTGAATCAATGTATCTCTATGGGGAACGTTCAGCACCTACAGAGTGTGGAGGCCCTGAATGTAGGTGCACTAACACAGGAAGCACCTCTAGTGACCGTCTGAGTGACTGTCACTAGCAGTGTCACTTTGAAGCAATGTAAACACCGCCTTTTCTCTGAAAAGTCAGTGTTTACGTTGAAAAGCCTGTAGGGACATGCTATAGACACCAATACCACCACATTAAGCTGTGTGTGTGCGTCTGCTAGTGAGTGAGCTTGCTTGCATGCGTGTGCCTGCTAGTGAGTGAGCTTGTGTTTTTATGTCAATGAGCTGATGTATATCAGTAAGATTGTTTGTCTATGAGGCTGTGTATCAATGAGCTTGTGTGTGTCACTGAAATGTCAGTGAAATTTCCTGTGTCTGCATGTGCGTATGCTTACTGTATAATTAAACGTTTTACCCTGAAAAGATCAATATTTTATATTAGAAAAAGCAATATATATATATATATATATATATATATATTACTCAATCATCTGTCCTGACAAGACATAGCCTTACATATTACACGCGACAATATATGGCGCAGTGACTTATGGGGCTGGCACAAATTTTTTTTCCAGGGCTGCTTTGTATCCCCAGTCCGGCCCTGTTCCCATGCCCAAAACAGTTCCAGAGAATTAGGGCTAACGGTCGGTCTCTCTGTCTGGAATACAAAAGTACATACGTCACGTGAACATTAAAAGGCATTGGGCAAGGTCAGGCCCCTCCAAGAACCCTTGACGAGGTTCAGTTTGTCACAGGGCCATATTCACAGGGTAGGAGGCTGGCAAACAGGCCCCTCCAAAAGCCAGTGATGAGGTTACTTTCGTCACAGTCTATATCCTCAGAGGGATTTTACCTCCGCTATTAGGATGAATAGATACAGTTCACACTTATTGTAGAACAAACACAATGTAGCCAACTATTTAAGCAGTTATAACTTAAGATCCCACGTTGATCCCGTGTGTTTTGGCGCTAAATAAACGTGCCTTGTCTTAGGTTAGAAATTTGTAAAATAGATCAATGCATACTTCTAAAATGCTCTATCCTTTAAAGCTGCACATCTCATAAAAATTCAAAATAAATTCAGGCATAATGCAAAAGAAAAAAAAGGAACGCCCTACGTGTTTTGGCGCTAAAAAACTGCTCCTTCATCTGATTGCCCAAGATAAAAGCGCAGTTTTATAGCACCAAAACGTATGTTAGGAGTTCCTGATCCTTACAGAGTGAGATCTTAAGTTACAACTGCTTAAGTAGAATTGGATACATATTGTTTGTTCTACAATAAGTGTAAACTGTGTCTATTGACCCTAATAGCTGAGGTAAAATCCCTCTGAAGATATACACGATTAAAGGGACACTATAGTCACCCAGACCACTTCATCTCATTGATAGTCCTTGGTCCCATACTGTTCTCCATCTATACTGCCTCCCTTGGTAAACTCATTAGCTCCTTTGGCTTCCAATATCATTTCTATGCAGATGACACGCACATCTACCTGTCCTCTCCTGATCTCTCCCCATCCCTCTTGACTAGTGTCTCTGACTGCCTCTCTGCTGTTTCTAACTGCATGGCTGCCCACTTCCTTAAACTAAACTTGACCAAAACTGAAATTCTGGTCTTTCCTCCCTCAAGTGTTGTTACTCCTGTGTCTGTCTCCCTCCAAGTCAACGGTGCTACCATCAGCTCCACCACGCAGGCTCGCTGCCTAGGTGTTCTCTTTGACTCCGACCTCTCCTTCAAGCCTCATGTTCAATCTATCACCAAATCCTGTCATTTCTCAAAAACATTGCGCGCATCCACCCCTACTTAACGCCAGATGCGACTAAGGTGTTGGTCCATTCCACTGTCCTTTCTCGCCTTGACTACTGACATCCGCTTCTCAGTGGTCTTACGTGCTCCCAACTTGCGCCATTACAGTCCATAATCAATGCGGCAGCGAGGCTCATCTTCCTGTCCGCCCGCACCTCCCATGCCTCAACCTTCTGTTAGTCCCTACATTGGCTTCCTATAAAATATAGAGCTCAATTTAAAATTCTGGTTCTTGCTTTCAAATCTTCATAAAAGCGTATCAATTAAACTGTTAATAGCTCCTGACTGATTCCTCTTCTGCAACTGTCACTAGTCTAATACTATCCTTACCTTTTTGTTTCAATTTACCCCATTCCCTCTAACTTGTAAGCTCATTGAGCATGGGCCCCAACCCCTCTGTTCCTGTGTGTCCATCTTGTCTGGTTACAACTACATGTCTGTTCATCCACCCATTGTAAAGCGCTGCAGAATTTGATGGCGCTATATAAATAACGTAATAATAATAATAATAATAATAATAATCGCTAGGGTAGCCTTATGCTTTTCCCACGCATGCTTAAACGTCTTCACTGTGTTAACCTCTACCAGGTAAGATGGAAGGCTATTCCATGCATCCATGACCCTCTCAGTAAAGTAATACTTCCTGATATTATTTGTAAACCTTTGCCCCTCTAATTTAAGACTCTGTCCTCTTGTTGTGGAATCCTGCAATCCATGAACCAGTTTAGTAGCCCTTCTCTGAACCCTCTCTAAGGTATCAATATCCTTCTGGAGATACGGTCTCCAGTACTACGTACAATACTCCAAGTGAGGTCTCACCAGTGTTTTGTACAATGGCATGAGCACTTCCCTCTTTCTACTGCTAATACCTCTCCCTATACAACCAAGTATTCTGCTAGCATTTCCTGCTGCTCTATTACATTGTCTGCCTACCTTTAAGTCATCAGAAATAATCACCCCTAAATCCCTTTCCTCAGATGTTGAGGTTAGGACTCTATCAAATATTCTGTACTCTGCCCTTGGGTTTTTACGTCCAAGATGCATTATCTTGCACTTATCTACATTAAATGTCAGCTGCCACAACTCTGACAATTTTTCTAGTTTACCTAAATCATTTGCCATTTGGCTTATTCCTCCTGGAACATCAACCCTGTTACATATCTTAGTATCATCAGCAAAAAGACATACCTTACCATCAAGAAATCACAATTGGAGGAGGAGAAAGAGAGATATTGTTTTTCCTCCCCTCTCTTTCTCTGTATCTAGCAGGTGCAATGGGCATAACTTAAAACAATGATTGACAAGGAGTCAAAGTGGATGCATTCTTCTGAAGGATGGAGAGGAGTTTATATTATTTTTTATTTTATTATTCACACCTCATGCATGTTTGTTAAATATTATTTTTATTCTTATTAATGTAA